CACAAGGTTGGATCGAGCCCCTTCCAGCATTTGGCGAATTTCACGCTCCACAAAGGATTTGCTGGAGTCCACATATTCTATTGATGTTTGATGCCTGTAGCCAAGTTCCTTTATGGCGGCTTTCAACTCCCGACTGTTATACGTGTAAATCACCTCAACTTCGTCCTTACCGTTCACGAAGTGATTGATGGCAAAAGTACAGTCTTCGGCAAATCGAGATTGGCTGGGGTACACGTATCGGAACTGCGTATGGATGTCTTTGATGACTAACGCGACCTTCTCACCTTTCAAACCTTCTTCCACATTTGCTTTGACAATTTGACAAGCACGTGGTCGGCAATTATGTGGTCTCCGAAGCGTGTAGTGTCAACCCTTGCCTGTCCGCCTTTGGACCTCGCATACGGCGCAAGCATGCGTGCCCTTTAACACGTTCGGCAGAATGGGTTCTTGGGGAAGTGAAGGAATTGAATTGGTGCTTGGACGACTGGGCTTCGACGATGAGGTCGGCCTTTTTTCGACTCCTCACCGCTATCACTTCTTCATCATCCGGATTCACACCTTCATCAATTCCCTCTTCTTCGTCTCTTACGGACTTCGAAACACCGGGCAAAGCTAAAAGCTTGCGGACCTTGGCCGGCTTGAAGGGTTTGTGCTGACGACAGGACATGAATCATCCAAAATGGGAACATGGCCGTCAACTTTCAGGACAACTGCTTTTCCATCAGGTCGGACAAGGAACGGTGCTGCCCCTGCCGGCCAGACGAAGCTATAACCCTGGTCCATGCATCGAGCGCCAACCGAAAGAACGGACGGTGTTTGCTCTAGGATATACGGAGTGATGGACCCCGGCAACGTGTTGAGATCTATCTCTGCCACTGCGTTGGACTCTGTTGATCCGTTCGCAGTGATGAAGCTGATTGGATGTTCCGTGCTTCGCTTGTTGTAGGCTCCGACCTGAGACAACATGGACTCACTGATCAAGTCCTGCTCACTCCCAGAGTCGATGAGCCACTGATGACGACCTTTTGGCGCGGGCGTAGCAACGGTTGGTGGCATCAACACAGTGTGGATCTTGCATGGGGCAAGTAGATTCCTACAGTTCTTGCAAGTCAGATTTTCGAGGTCATCAACACAGTTGAAACCGCATGATGGTTGAACCGAATTTCCAAATTGCTTCACCGTTTCTTGCAGCTTTCTTGCTGCTGTTTTGGCATTCAACACGTGAATTGGGTCCGCCTTCTTTGCTGCTTCCGCAGTAGTGAGGATTTCATCATACTTCCTAGGACCATGTACTACCGGGTTGCATCGGCCACGAGCATTGTACTAGGGTGAGATGACTTAGGCCAATTGGGTCGAAATGACATACAACTTTCCCAGGGCAAGTCCTAAGTCATGTACAAATGTTATACAGGGCAATTTCATTGGCACACACTCATGACATAGGCCTTGTTGACCTGGTCCTGAGCTTTTTTTTTGGGGGGGGGGGTTGGTGGGGGGCATGCTCCTGGAAGACTAGAGCTAATGAAAGTCCACATGTCATAGGAACATCTTTTGCTTTAAGTCTGCCTTTGTGCGTTTTTGCTCTCAAATTCCTATCTCTCGATGGTTTATTCATTGTTTAGATACCAAAGTCGTATGTCATGATTCTTGTCAATATAAAATCAACTGTTTTTCGGATCTTTGGTGACAACCTCTGGCATCTCTGATTTTGATGTTTTTCCAAGCTTTTGCTTCATGACATAAATACTTGTGGGGGGTAGGCTAAACCTTCATGACTTAGCCGCCGCAATTTGGAGGTAGTTTTCACAAGTCCTTTGTCATTTCAGCCTAGTATAATTCTCTTCACCCCCACCCGTTTGTCAAAGGTAACACGTTTTTTGCTCCGCGTCGCCCTTTCTTTTCCGGGGCTACGGTTCAAACCGTGCCTGCGGCGGGTAGCGCTGCAGGCGTAGTTCAATCGGACGCAAGGAGCTGCCGGCTTTTTCGGCTTCGGTTCCTTCTTGGGCTTCGGAGAGTTTGGCCGAGCTGGATCCTTTGGAGCGGCTGCACCCTTCTTTTCATGAAGGTACAGGCACTTGTCCCCACGGCGGCAGTCTCCGCGTGCAAAATATATGCATGGAGTCTTTGCCATCTCCTCCTTGTTGAGCTTCTTCTTTGGATCACGACTGGGATTTCGAGGGGTGCGCTGTCTAGACGGCGACCTATCCTTCTTGTCATGACGATATGGGCAATCCTTCCCTTGGGCACACTTCCCTTTTACGAAGTCTCTGCGCGGGATCTTCTTTCTGTCAGGAGTTCTTCCTCTTGGGGTGGTCTTCTCCCTCTTTGCAGGGGGTACCACGGGTAATCCTGCCCGATCTTTGGGGTTGTTCGGCTTCGGTTGATTCTTGTCGACGATGCGATCTCGATTCTCCCTAAGCCTCTCACGGTCAATCAAGCCACGAATGGCCTTCACAAGACATGAGTATGTCTTGCTAGGGTCACCCTCCTTTGCCCGATCGTACGTGTCAATGTCATACTTGAGTAGCGTGCTGGGACGAATTTGGCGAAGTAGGACATCACGAAGAACGGTTTCCTCAGGTTCCTTCTTCATTCCCGCTAAAACAGCATCCCAACGATTGATGAATTTCTTGAGGTCGGCAATGGTATCCCCAAACTTTGCAACCTTCAAAAGATCTTCTAAAGAATAAAGGGTACCAGCTTCCTCAGAGGTTTTGAAGTAGTCATCAAACATGAGGAGTACTGTGCGACCCCTGGTCTGATGTCCCTTCTTTGCTTGCTCCTCCTTGTGGTTATTAAGGATTCTATTTCCCAGGTCACCACGGGCTGACTTCGTGAGAGCAGCTGTGAGCTTCGTGTCTAGCGTCACGAACTTGCCTGGATTCTGGAGCTTTACCTCGCGCGAGAGAGCTTAGGATCTCAAACTTCCATGATCCACTCCCACGCTTCATCGGGCTTGTCGGACGATGATCGAACGAGCTCACGAACAAGATTCTTCCATTGTCGGTAGGTTTCAGGTGTGGGCATGTCCGGAATGGCAATAGCATCGGCTTCTTTGACCCTTGGCTTGCCATCATCATCCTTCTTGGACTTCATCTCTTTGAGCAACTCTGCTAAGCCGCTCATTGGGGCGTTGGCATCTCCTGAAGAAGCCGGGGCTTTGCCTTCGGCTCCTCCGTCGCCCGCATTGGATAGCCGTTCATCAGCAGTTTCACGCGCGTCGACGAAGTGCTCTTCCTTGCTGTGGGCAGGCTCTGGAACGGCTGGGTGGATTAAGCCAGCAGGCGCTCGCGATGGATAGAACTCACCAAGTTTCTGAGCAAACTTTGCATCTAGTTTTGCCTTCCAATCGATCTCAGCTGCTTGGGGCAAAGCCTCACGGCCTGCTGGCTCAGATAGCACAGGGGTGGCCGTTCCTGGCAATTGATGTGGTGCCTCAGTTTCATGTACTGGAATAAGCCCATCAAGCTGGTCTTGAAGAAGTGCGTTGGTCTCTGATGCCTTACGCAGTTCGTCCTCAAGGTATGCTTTTCTTTCAGTCCATTCGGTCTCCATGACTTGGCGCTGCTTGCGTTCTTCTTCGAGGAGTCCTCTAGCTTTGTTGGAAGCGTCCTCCACCATTTTGTCGAACATCTTCTCCAGCTCACTCATCTTCTCGTTCATCTTTTGCAAATGAAGCTTCTCAGCTTCCGCCTTCTGCTCCGACATCTTCTTCTGGTGCAAGCTGTCTGCGCTGGCAACTTTGGCCTGACTCTCAGCCAATTGCCTTTCCAACAAGTTAATCCGATCCTGCATCGATAGGACTTGCTTGTCACACACTTCCTTCATCTGATCGATAGCAACTCTACATTGCGAGCCTAAGGCTTGGATTGTAGACTGCATGATTTCTCGATGTCTCTGTTCTGCTTCGTTGCGGACGGCTTCTTCGTTCCCTGAAGCGATCTGATGTTCTGTATGAACTGGAAATATGCGGTGACGCTCTCGGATCCCATTACGATGTCCTCGGGCACAAGGTTGCCCCCGGCGGCGGTCGGTACGACATTGCCGGGTATGGGATGAGAGCGAGCGCGGCATTCGCACCTTCGTCTGTAGCCATGGCAGAGGCTACGGCTGATAACCTCTATTTTCCGGTTCAACCACTAAAATACAGTCAAAATACCGCTAAGCTGCAACTGCAAACGCTCCTTTTTGTCGCCATGAGCTGCGTGCTTGAGCCAAATTGGCACATGTGCGTAAAAGCCTAGCATTAGGTGATGTATTTCAACAGTCAGCAACCCGGCACGGAAAGCAACCGCCTGAATTACAAGGTCTGCCCCGTTGGACTGACAGCTTTCTCCTCTAGACTTGACACCCGTAGCAACGTGCAGGTTGGCCATCATTCACCGTGGCGTTGTCACAGCTAAGCGAAGGTGGGCCTTATCATCCACCTTTGTGGCGTTGTCAATGCAAGGAAGATAGTGGTTTTGATATGCAAGAAGATAGTGGTTAGCAATCGCCTAAATTAAGCGGGAGGGGGAGCGGGGGAGGGCGCAGCGCCTCCCCCGCAATGAAAACAAAGAATGGAAAGGATTCCAATAGCAGAATATCTCATGGTCGTCTGTGAGTTGCAATCGTCTGGATAAAAACAATACCGTCTGACATCTGGCAGCTGTGCCTTGGACTTCACATTCCTCCGAAGATGGACTAGTAGCCGACAATAACTATCATATCAATATCTTGATATTAGCCACGAAAGCTACGAAAGCCACACAGAAGCCAGAATTCACGAAAGCCACGAAAGCCAAAAGCCACAGAAGCCAGAAGCCATGAAAGCAACGAAAGCCAAAAGCCACAGAAGCCAGAAGCCACGAAAACCACGAAAGCCAAAAGCCACAGAAGCCAGAAGCCACGAAAGTCAAAAGCCACGAAAAACAAAAAATATCCTAGAAAAAAAGAAACAAAAAAACTCCTAAATTAAATGACCCTCCTTTGAATGGGATCTTCATCTTGTGCCCTCCTGCCTTCACCTCGTCAGGAACAATTCGGCTTTTTGTTTTGGACTCCTCGAACAGCCTCCTGAACGATTCACCTGGTTGCCAAGAAGTTCCAGCAGCCAAGAATCAAGAGCCCCTCTTTCTGCCAAGGCTCTTATCTCCGAACATCCATTCAGCATCTTGTCCTAGGCAGTTGAAGCACCATGGAAAGCCCCCACTTCACGGTGCAACTTCCTGTGAGAGAATGACAATGAAAGCAAAGTCCAAGCGGCATAAGGATGAATACATTGTGCCAGCGCAGATGGAAACCAGCAGGCCTTCATCCGCTCCAAATCCCTTTGAGAGAAAGAGGCCTCGGCCAACATTCGGGGTACAGTAGGGTTCAGTGGAAGTGTGGCACTTCTTAAAGACCAGCCGCATAAAACTCGACATTCGCTTGAAGAACAGTTCCTTCGTCTTCAAGCTGACTTGAGCAAAGTTTATCGCGGAGTCGAGCTGCTCCTTTCCGGGCGATCAAAGACAAGGTCAACCGTCTGCAAACGCACTTTTCCTTCACAACCGACACATTCTCGATCCAGAACGAGCTTCCTCTGTACAAACCCTGAAAAAAGTTTGGTTTAGCTATCGATAATCGAGACCAAAAAGACTGCCAGCTCCTGTGAAGTCTCCTGCCTGCGCACATTCAACCATTTTGCGGTCCATCTCCTTGGCACACCACCCAGTCCCGATGACAACAAACTGGACACCGGACTGACAAGAATTCAGCAGGGTTTCTTCCACCACTTCATCGGTCAAGGACTTTTCCACTTTTCTGGCTTTATCGCTTGACCTCACATCGCCATCTTCTGCACGGCGGCGGGTCCGAAATTGTCTGCCAAACGCCGCTGCGACCATGCAGGCAGCAAGGGTCGCGTGCGAACCTCAGCACTCAAGGCCCGAAGGCGTTGAAAACAAATCGATCTCAATCCTCCTTTTTGCCAAGTGCTGCAGGGAAGCCCTTGGAACCCAAAGATGTTCCCAGCTGTGGCGCCTGAGCTCAGATGGGGGTGGACGCAAGGTTTGCAAGCAAGGACAGGCGGGCAGCAGCAGCAGCAGCAGCAAACCAACAGCAAACGAGCAATCCTGGAGTAACAAACCATGAGGTCCAGCAAAAGCATGGGCAGCAGGAGCATAGGTGGGAACACGCAAGGCATGAGGGCGAGGATGAAGCTCAGGAAAATATAACGAGAGGGAGGATACTTCATTTAAAGAGAAATTGGGTGAAGCTGCGTTGCATGAAGTAGAGGAGTACATGAAGTGGACAAGCTCGACACGAATCCAATCGCACCAGGCCATAGCACAATTGAAGGAAAATTGACACTTCCCAGAACCCATACCCGCTTGGCACCCAAAGATCAGTCATTTGGGAGGATCCTCGTAAGCTGAAGCTAATTGAACTCAATTTGCCCGGCAGCCTGAGGCACGATTAGTAAATTCACCCACACATCGTTGCCGCAGCTGGAGCCACAGCTTCAGTCAAGTGTCTTGAGGCTCTTGCGAGCAGTTATTTATTAGTCATGAGTCATGAGTCTCTACCACAAAACAGAATCTGTTTCGCAAACCTTCCTGTAATGCATTTTGTGGCTATTGAAACTACAAATGCCTGGACCGCTGAAAACTGAAATGTTGAAGAAACTTGCACAAACCAAGCCACACCCTGTTCTGGTGCATGTGGCAGTGCCCGTAGTGGAGCAGCTATACTTTGGACAAAGGTTGTGAAACTCCTCAATGACAAGGGCTTCCACAGACAGCAATCTGGCTACTAAACAAGAAGAAGCCTGTACATGAATATGCATACATACTGTACCGTCTTAACTATTTACAGTAGGTGGAGAGCTGGGGCAAAAGCACATGGTACACAGCATTTTTGGTATATACCTTCTTCACAAAGATCAAGTAAACAAACAATCGCCAAGTGGCGCCCTGTCTTGAGCCTATCACAGGCAAGAGAGCCTCTTCAAAGGTGAAGTAAGGTGAGGTGCAATTTTAAGAAAGCTGGGACAGCAGCTGAGATTATTTGGGGAGCGACGGTGACCTTTGGTATGTAAAGGTGTCAGAGTATTGACCTAGAACGCCACGCTGGCAAAATGTGAATCTTCACGCAGCGATGGGCTTTGTCATCTGCACACACGAAGGCGAATGGGAAGAAGACATGCAAGAAGATCAAATTAAATAAAGACTGATAAAATCAAAAGAGTTGAGAGGCAAGCAAGTGAGATGAGACGAATCAAAACGATTGCAAAAGCTGATTGTGATGTGAAACAAAGTCAGGTGATTCTGGATCGAGAGAAAAGTGGAGGAGACTATTAAACAATGAGATGAGACTATATGGGACGATGAGACGATGTGAATCTGGCAGAAACATCAAATGAATTTGCAAGTTCAGGTCAGTTGAAAATCACTGATGCTCTATTTTCCGAAGAGGGAGATGTCATGTCACACGGTTTGGCCAGACTTCGTGACTCACTCTAACACTCTCTGGGGTCGTACCATTCTAATTCCGGTCCTACCGTGCAGTTGCGACGCTGCCACCAAAGCCTCAGAAGGTGGCAACGACAAATGCAAATGGTTTCACTTTGCAGCCCTGGGGAAGGGACAGCCACACCCAACCGCAGGCTGCGCATTCCTCGCAAGTGCAAGCTACCGCTACACCAATGCTGAGATCTTTGTTGCACGCCTGAAGGAGCCATCTGCTTCAAAGCATGGTTGCCCTTGCTCAAGGAATCGCAGTATCTGGGTGACAGTCGCCTTCATATGAGATGTAAACAGGCCGCAAACATGCCCCGCAACTTGAAACAAATCGTGATGTTTTTCCTTGCCCTTGTTGCCGTTGCTTACTCGTTTGCGGAATTTACTTGATGCTTGAGCCCCAAACAGCCGTCAAGCAATTCTAAGCGTGCATTCCTTGGTTGGGGGGTTGGGGGTCAACGTGGAATGTATGGCAATCCAAGTCAAGGAGAAAAGTCGCATCACGGTGCACCAAAAAATTGCCACAATTGTTCTTGACATTGTCCCTTTCTGCCACATGCAGCGCCAGCAATTTAAAGGAGCAAATCAGAGGCTGGTCGTTTTTTGCTGGAGTTCACCTTCAGCTGAGTTCAAAATGTTCATGCCAAACAGGACGCTGCATGCAACTGGCCTGCGCCTTCCTGGCCAACCGTTGGGCAATCTCCTGCCACGCATTGGCTGCACATGGTTCGTTCACATGCCTTCATTGTGGCTCAGGCCTTGGCACTCTCTTCACTTGCCTTCTTCGGTTTCTTCGCTTTGGGCACCGGTGGCTCGTACTCCTGATGTGGTGGGCCAAACGGCGTATCCATTGAAAACACTTTGACGACAGGGTGGCCCGAAAGCACCGCAAAAAAGAAGATGATAACGATGAGGATGAGGATTGAAGATGACGTTGGTAATGATGAGGGTGAAGATGAGGATGCTGCTGGTGGTTGTACTAGTGAACCTGAAAATGGTGAAGGTTACAACGGTGCCCATACCAAGTTCCGTGGGCACCCCCAAACCTTCCCGCTCCCCAGCGACCCGCCGAATTTACACCAGCATTCTTTCCTTCCCCCAATGGCGCGGACTCACGCAAACGCACTTTCCACCGAGGCAACGCAAAACCGCATGGCACATCAACATCACAAACGTCATGTCGCCACACAAATGCGCCGCAGACTATAGTGACTAGATTCAACAATGTAACTGACTTTCCACCGAGGCCGCGCAAAACCGCGCGGCGCAGCCTCACCGCGACATCACAGCCGTCCTCTCGCCACATGGCGTGCCACAGACTAGACACAACAGTGCAACACCAAGCTTCGTGAGCACCGCAGCGACATGCCGCATTTACACCCACTGGCACGGACTCAAGCGCACTTTCCACCGAGGCCCACGAAACTGCGTGGCACAGCGACAACTCAGCCGCATAATTTGCGCCCTAGCTTGGCCACCCGGCGCAAGACAGACTTAGATACAACAATGTAACACCAAGCCTCGTGGACACCGCCAATCTTCCCGCTCCCCAACAACACGCCGAATTTAGACCTAAATGCACCAATACTCAAATTCGCATATTTCCCTTGAACACTCGACACGCACGGTTTCCGACCCTTGACAATCATATCAACCGCCTGCACCTGCACAACTTCATACGAGGATGACGATGACGACGACGGCGACGAAGAAGAAGAAGATGATGATGAGGAGGAGGAGGAAGAGGAGGAGGAGGGCGCTGATAGCAATGACAGTGATGGTGACGAAGATGACAGCGCTGATGGCGATGTCGAAGACAATGGAAGTGATGATGACGCTGATGCTTGCTGATGATGATGATGGTGATGATGGTGGACTGGAGGCGATGATGCTGATAGTAGCTACGATAATGTTAATAATAGAGAGCGGGTGGCCATGGGGCCTGGGCTTTGGTTTTCCCAAAATGTTTGGTAAATGCTTCAGTGGCAGCCCCTCTCCATATAAACACACATAAAATATATTCCTGCTCTCTCTAGACGAACAAATATATTATGTATTCCGGAGTCAAGGTCAGTTTATTGTCTTGGAAGCAGCAATCAGTCATTCAGATGGTTTTGAACAAAATAATTAGGAAAGAAGCAGGCCATAAAAGCGTTTATTTTAACAATTGTCCTCTAGATCCCTGCTTATACAGAAACTTTGTTTAGATTTGGAAGATTTAATATAGACCCTTTTATGTTGCAGAGGAGTCTCTACAGATCTCTGCGGATAATCATTTTTAGGTTTAAACAACTATATAGAAACCTTGTATGTTAAAAACTTTCTTCTAGATTTCTGCGGGTAAGAGCTTGCATTTTCAAAGCTTTCCTCTGGATCTCTGGAAAAGTAGATATCCCATATATGTGTGTTTTCATGAAAGGAAAGCTGTTGAAAAAAAAAACGTATTTATTGATATATGTTTTCATTTGACATGACCATTTCCTGAGATTCAGGGGAAAGCTTTTGAAATGAAAGCTTGGATATATCCCCAGAGATCTACAGGGAAGCTCTTGAATTAGAAGCTTGTACATAAAACATGTTCAATATGTCTATATTATTTCCAACAGTTACTGTAAATAAACATATCTAACTATTTACTCCAAAATAAGAGTTTTAGTCTTGTTCCCAGCGCTCCCAGGGCAAAAAAAACTGTAAAACACGGGGTTTTGTAGCATGTGCTTTCTTAAACTAAATAGGCTAGAGCTAGAATAGAATTAGGTAGAGTGAAATTGGATTTGCATTAGAGCTAAGACAGAACTGAATTAAAACCGAATTTCAGCTAAGCTTGTATTGAACTATAACTACAACCTATTTAAAATGAGATGAGAGCTGAATTAGAAAGGAATTGGAGTTAAATTAGAAGTTCGCCAGAATAAGATGTAAAACGCTTGAGCTACAAGATGCACAAGTCGAGGAGGCTTCAAAATTACAAAGCCGAAGCAAAAGCAACAAGCATTGAATTAGAACTACAGCTTACACAGATTCAAAACAGTTTCATGTAAATTGGAAGGTGTCATTACAGTACTGTTTCATGTCAAGCTTATTGGACATGCAATTGGCAACCACATTGATACCAATCAGAACTTAATGCATAGACTTGTACATGGAGATTTCGACAAGGACAAAGGGAGTGTTGGGCTCAGACGTAAGAGCAAAGAACATATGCCTTCAGGTGAGACTTAGGCTCACATGCTTGAAGGTTGAACAAAATAGTAATAACACCGATTGACCTAAAAAGGAAAACAAAAAACAAAAAACCTTGAGAAAACCAATAACAACCTAGGAAAAAACCAAAAGACTTGGGAAACCCAAAAACAAAAAACTAACAATTCTGGGGAAGTCTTGAGGAAAGGGGGGGTCCAGCCAAGAGTCTCTGAGAAATGTCTTTTTTGTTGTTTTGTTTTCCCAATGTTGTTTCGTTTTTTTGTTTTTCCTAGGTTGCTGTTGGTTTTCCTAAGGTTTTGTTGTTTTGATTGGTGTTTCTAAGTTTCAGTTTTTGTGCAAATTATTCAGTGTTTTTGTGGTTTTGATAGTATTCGTTTTTTGTGGTTTTGATTGTATTTGTGAAAAGTTGTCTGCAAATACAGAAAACCAAAAACCCAGGCCCCATGGCCACCCCTTCTGTAATGATAATGATGATGATGATGGTGATGTTAATAACCATCAAGAAAATGATCCTGAATTCCACATCTATGATGATGATAGAGATGATAGTTAAACAGTTGAAGTTGGCAGCCGTTCTTGAAGGAGAACCCTTCGCAGGTGCTTTCAAGGCAAAAAGATATTCCAAGGTGAGCCTTTGCGCGCTCTCTTCTCTTCTCAGCACTTTTGGCTTGTTGAGCCTCCAAACCACAACTGCGTTGCAACGATCGACTGAAACACCTGCGGTTTTTCAGGATTTGCTCTGCTGTATGTTGCCTGAAACAACGCGCAACATATGTACACAGCTGTAACAGTTGTAACCCTCAAAACCCTGCAACGTTGACCAGCACTCTGCTTGATTGCATTCGAGCGACTCTACTCGTAGCTCGTCTGTTGTCTACGGTCCAAGTCCTTTGACAAGAGCAGTGAAGACGTTGTACTCGCGCCCCTGGTCTCTTGCCCTTCAACACACACAAAACACTCAAAATTGGTAAGGTGCAGGTAAAGGGCGCCCCAAATGTGGAATACTTTGATGAGGATGTCGACTGGTCAACCGCAAACCACTTTTGGCTCACAATGATCTCGCTGGAGAATTGGCTCAACTGCGCCCAGATAAAATGTCCATCAGACGTAGGATGGGCAAAATTGGGTTCCATCCGACGGGGAAGGATCTCGCCAAATGCCAGGCACGTGGTTGGCGTTCGAACTGATTCGCCTCGAAGACCATCCACGCCAGCCATACCATACTGCGCGTTCGCAAACAGGATTCATTCGTGAGGAATCCTGTCCAGAATACCTTCGTGACACATAGGGCAGATCTGAACAAAGATTGATTTCTGCGCCTCGTCCGGCGCAAGATCTACCATCTACCAGGAGTAGGTAACCCTTTCACAAAGCACATTTGCAGCACATCCTGCAAGTAAGTTCAAAGACGCCCTCAAATTTTCACCGTTATCGCCAGTCTCCAGTTCGCTGTCGTTCTTCTGTCATACAATGAGAAATATGTATTTGTAGTCCTCGGCCGACAAGACACTCTTCAGACACTCATGGTATTCCGTCGCTGCAGATCGTGATCTCCATGGACACTCCTCGCTCAAATGTAATCGTAGAGGAAGGATATGGCAGTTCAGGGTCGTCCATGGTGAAATGTGTTCTTGACTGCTGTGGATAGTTTCAGCTGGGATTCTGTTCAGACTAGGCTTTGCGATTCATAGTCTTTCTTGCGCCGTCTTCTCTCTCCAGCCCGGGCACCCTCCCTATTGATTCTAGCCCCACGTTGGGCAATAGCGTCCGGGAAGGCATCTCTTTGTCGCTCAATAAGCAAAAGACGAACTGCACGTGGTCAGTCAGCTGCGAAAGACACTGCAACCACGTAGATCCATGCATCCTTGACAATGTGTTGGACCGATAATGTAGTATAGCTCCGACCGGGGCTAAACGGCAACGTTCTTGTCATTCAAGAAACCTGCAAGCGCGGTCTCGAAAATCTGATTCCGGTCCAACGGACACTGATCAGATCAGCATTTGGAGGTTCGTCCGGCTCGTATCTCCACGACGCTGATCTCGCTCTTCATCCTCTTCGACCATTGCTCTTCATTTAGGGCCTTGACAGGGATAGCAAGGCAGCGATTGATCAAATTGCATTCTTTAATCCACAACTTGCATCATTGGCCCGACCACATTTTTACCCATTGTTGGATAGGCCGTACCTATCCCTTACTTACCAAAAAGGACTCTCTTTAAGCATGATATAAACCAAAAATCACCCAAATGCTTGACATGAGACTTATCATGTTTCATCTTTGCCCTGGTGCAAGATTCTTGCATTGATGGGTGAGACGGAGTGCGACGGTCCTTGCCTCGGACTTCAAAATCAAAGTTCCTCTCCTGCTTGAACCTTGTACCTTCTACCACATCGACTCCAACGTCATCTTCACACCATCCCTGGGCTCCTCAGCCCCTCTGCCGCGGAAAGCTTTATTCTTTCTTCTTTTCCTCTTCTTGCTTTGGCCTGAGAGAGACCTTCTGCTGCGGAGTCTTGCTGTGATTCATCCGGACGATAGCGCTGCGCAACCTGTTGCTCTACGTCACAATCATGGGCACGAACCTGCCGACGGCAAGGGTCGATACCCACGTTTGGAACATCCGAGGGCTTCACAGTAGCTCATCCCACGCATGGAAGAATTGCTGGGCTCTTGTTGGAAGGCTGTCAATTGTTGGCTTGAACTGCTCAAAAACTGAGTCAGCAATCTCCCCACCAAGTGGGTAGATGGCTTTCAGCTCCACCCATTCTTCCCAACGATGTTTGTGGACAGCCTTCAATGCCTCCTGCCAAGTTCTGGCTTTGTAAAAGGTCCTTGAGAACCTTCTATTCCCCTGGGCCCGCCTCTCTCAGAGCAGGCCCACTTCCATCAAGCTGGGCAACCCTCTCTCAGAGTAGGACGGGGGATCTCCGGTTGCTCAAGCGGTACTTCATCGTGGGCTTCTTCACGCACATGGACTTTTGGACCTCACTCTTGGTATGCTCCGTTTCAGGTTTGCAATTACCTCTACGCCTTTTCTGGACCAAGTTTCTTGCCCTCACATTCGGATGTGACGCTGTCCTGACATTCTTGATGATCATTGCAAACACCTCTGCTCTTCGTCCAAACTGTCCAATTGCTCAGGTGCTCATAGCTGCACTGCATCTTTGGATCAATGGAGTCGAAGTTCTCCACTCCAGATCAACATACAGTCCGCATCGGGATTATCCCTTGGTTGTCTGAACCACTCAATCCAATCCTTCTGGTCCATTCCTTTGGTTGCAATGATGACTGCTTGTCACACGTTTCCTTTCTAGAGTGCAAGACTGACTCTTTCCTGCACCCTCAACCTTTTTTGCCCTCAATCAATGTTTTGGGCCTTCATCGTGACTTGCTGTCCGAGACAGAAACCAGTGGCAAGCTACTCAACATCTTGGTCATGGCGCTGAGTGAATTCTCGTACTTCACAAAAGATGACATGTGGCGCAAACGTCGGATCCCTATTGGGCTTCCATCTCAACTCGTCATTTGCCTCCATTGGTCCATTAGGGCTGTGTTGGCTTCACAGAACTTCTCCTTCTCAACAACTAACGCTCTTGTCTTGGATTCAAAAACTGCATTGCCGGACGGTGTTCTCCAATCTTCCCTCAGTCTCCATGGACATATGACTCTAAGAGCAAAGCAGTTGAATGCCTCTGTGACTCCATGAGGGTTCGACACTGAGCTACACAAGTTCAGCCCGACTTAATGCAAAATATGCACTGGCATAAGGCAAAAGATCGTTCAAAGGCCACATGTGCGCCAAGACTCAGAAGAATTAGTATATATTATATAAACAAATGCTGACTGATCAAGCATCAGCGGCCTCGCGTTTTGCGATCCTTTGTCTGAGTTGCCGTTCTTTTTCCTTGATGGTCTTGCGAAGGAGACCACTAGACCGCATGCATGAACTGACACTTCCAATATGGAACAGAGGGGCGTTGAGAAAGAACTCCCCCGACTCCATCTGCAGGTCCTGCGCAACGATGCAAGAGTTCAAAGTTTGTTTCCTTGCAATTGGTGCAGGAATTCAGGGGATCCTCTTTTCTTGGTGCTGGTTGAGGTGGAAAAACATCTTTCGTCTTCTTCTTGGCCTGCGGTGGCAAAGGTTTCTCAAGCGCCAAGCTGCCGCTGTACTTTCCAGCCTTTTTCGTCTTCAACTTCTTGCGCTGCACATTCCGGTTTTTGAAATGTGGGAGAAAGCGCTCCCAATTTTCATTCTTCAATTCGGGATCCTCGTGGATTGGGCATGGCCGGGCCGTGGGCTATGGCAGTTATGGCCATAAGTGCATGGTTCTTCCTCAACAACAATTCACAGCTTGGCTGAAACAGTTGGCCTTTTCCAGTTCTCGTCGAATCATCAACTCCTTGATGTGATAGATCCTTGGAATGGCCAAGCTCTATCTTAACACTATGCAAAACTAGGGCAGGTGTGTTCTGGCAGGCAACGGATGAATGTTGTGAAAGCAATCTTCCACTATTCTGCGGACCTGACGGGCGCAAAAAGGAAAATAGCACCCTGTTGATTCTGCAACTGCGCCAGCCTGCTTGATGCCCTTGATCGACCCCATGATGGACACGGTTTGCCCTTGAACAAGGACAAAGCATTGTGTCAATAGCTCGATGGCCTCAAAAAGCTACTGTGGCCAGGCAGTTGTTGAGCGATTCAAACACTGCACGCGAGGGTAGGCCTTCAGAGTGGACCCGTTGGGTCCAACAAGACGCTGGCGTCGTTTCACAAAGCGCTCTTTTGACCTGACCAAGCCTCAGAACAATCACATATCTTGACATTGCATTGACACAGGACAGCTTGTCGCAACCACAAGGCCTCCAATCTTCATGATGTCGCAATACACCTCATCTTCGCGCTTTCTTGCTTGCTCAGGCTTGCACGCACTACGGTGCCTCATCATCCAAGACTTTCTTTGCTTGTGGCAGTGGCACACTTCTTGCCAAAAGTTTGATCATATCCCTGGCCTGCTGCAAACACAGAAGGCAACAAACACCGTTAGGCCTTGTGATTCTCATGTCGGAAGCCCAATGAGATGCCAGCGTGCATAGAGCTTAGCACTAAGTAAAGTAGGGACTTTGCACTTCGAAACATTTTTCAGTTTCACTTCAATTGTAAAATCTGCAACTCCAAGACACACGCGTCAAAGAGCTGGGTTATATATTGGAAAACATGCTGCTACATAGACGGTGATACGCTAATATTGATATCCTACATCCAAGTGCATCAATTACCTACAGTAAACGCTTTGTTGCCTTTTGCCTAGCACTGCGTGAGTTTTGGTGTCGAAAAAGGTCAAAAATGAAGGTCCTGGTACAACAGTTGCTGCCCCTTGTTGTTACCTAGGCGGGGCAAAAGTTGTTGGGGAAAGAACTGCTGGCTGATCCACTGCTTTACCATCCGACAGTCTAACCGCGAAAAAGTCGCGCTGCAAGTTTTGCACACCCTCAGAAATTGTTGAATGTTCTATATAGCTGCATGTAGTTGGCCTGCCGGCGGGACATTTCGCACACTGTTTTGCAGTTCCGAGTTCGTTTTGCTATTTACAGCACTATGCGTCCGCAGGGCCACCGAGGAGAGCGTCAAAATGGTCATAAGCATGTTTTATGGTATTTCTCATGGTTTCGAGCAATTATATATGTACAAAATGCATTGTAATTACTGCACTTTTCTGACGGCATCACAAAAAAGACATGCAGTGAGCCACGCACGGCTCTCGAATCCTGGTGCATTTCAAGTTTGTGATGAACTCCGGGTCTGTGAAACCCTTGGCGTAGATGGACAACTTGGCATGAGTAACCAAAGTATAAACAGTACCAAAGTATCTTTTTCAAAACAAACAAGAGCGCACAAGAAAGAGCTTTAACAGATACAAATCCCAAGGCATTTCAAAAAACGACTTCTTTCACACACAAGAAGGTCCCGAAACCACCCGGCCATCTACGCCCGGCGCACATCTAGCCCGTGCATGTTGACCCGTTTCGAAATCAACTCTGGCATAGAGGCCTTGACGATGATGTATGGATCCCATGTCTTCTTTGTTGTTCTCACAGTCATCGACCCCTCGATCAAGTTCAACTCACCGACCAGTTCATGCCTCGCACAGCCACAACATTCACGGGCTGCGGAGCACAGATCCTTTCTCAACGAAACGATATCTTCCCCCGCCATGTACGGGCAAGCGCTGTTACCTCATGGTCTCATGGTGCTTTCAGACCTCTCAGCGCTGCATGCCCACTACCACCTAAAAATTGCAATCAAATCTGTTCCAAGCGTAGTCAACATTCCCTCTCTCGGCCTCCAATTTCTAAATTTGTTTCCCCCCTGCCGTTGGTCGGGGGTATTCGGGGGTGAGGGATCCAAAATATAGAGCACCATCAAAGAAGAAATAGGAAAAACTTAGAACAAAAAATCCCAGTGAGCAACGAAAAGGAAAAGGACTACAGGGTTTTTGAAAGCGACCAGTGAACCAAAGGATGAGGGGGCAATGGACCAAAAAAACGCCAACGAACCAATGGACCAGAGGACCAGGTGTTTGTTTAGGCTTTACGCCGCGATCAAAAACGGATTGAGATGCAGGGCATTGCAAGCTTCAGTCCGGCTCTTTTGTCAGAGCTTATGCACCGAAGCGCGCTTCAGGGGAGAATTCTACGATGCGCTTCACAGAGCCACCCAGGATTGATCAGTTCGGGCACGAGGCAATGTCGTCTGATGTGTGTTTGGTCAATCCTCTCCATGTCGAGTGCTTGTACTTGCATTTGCAGCACGGCGGAAGTCCTCCCAACGCATCCTGGAGGATTTCACAACAATCGTACTGCTTGGTGGCTTTGTGGACTCTTGTCAGATGTGATCGAGCATCATGAAAGGACTTGCTGACATCGTCACACACGGGATGTCCTCCTCGACATCATTTGCCGGAGCTGTGTATAATGGTTTGCAAGAAGTTTTGTTGGCTACCAGCTTTTCTCGCGCTGAAGGTGAAGGCGAGAAGCTGTTGGTGAGCCGGCAACTTCGAGCGAAAAGAGCATTGGCAAGGGACCAAATCCAAGCCATGGGCCCTGTTAGAAGGAGAAGGCAAGCCGGGAGATGGGCGGACCTGGCTCCGTCCTCTTCAAGGAGCTCGCAGAGAGATGGTGGATTGATGTCGATGTTGGATTGGCCAGAGGAGGCTGCCTGGAGTGCCCGAAGATACTCAATCGCCTGGGTCCAAGCGCACTTCAGGTATTCTTTGGGCATGCGATTGCAAGGAGCTGATGAAGAGCAGCAGAATATTTGGAGCTACGCCTTTGTAGTGGCTTTACATTTTCAAAGTTGACTGGCAACGTCTTCAAGGTCAAGTGGCAAAAGGTGACGTTGAAGCGGTGGTGTATCTGAGGTGGAGTCTGTGGAGATGGTGGCAACAAAGCGGTCAAACCTTTGGCATAAGATATGCCCAGCATGGGCCGCCTGTTGGGTTACCAATTGTAGTTTTTCCTTTTTCTTGACATGACAGTAGCGGCGCAACTCTCGGCAAAGTCTTTGCTGCTGCCCTGCATGGGCCCAGGCCTTCAGGAGGTGTCCTGGATGTGTCCCCATGGTGTTCTTGAAAAAGAAGAAGTGCTCCCATGTCCTTGCGGCAATAAATTTGCAGGTGGCCGTCCGGACTGGTAAAGTTTGGTTTCTGTCGCGCATTGTGAAAGCGCTGTCTACAGAGATTCAGAATTGGCGCCTCCGAGTCCAAAACTCGGAATTTGCCTGATACTCACTCCACGCTGCGCTGTCTGGAGGGGGGCGATCCCCTCATTCTGGTGGTGGAAGCACCAAGCTGTCCATCCCAGCGGAAAGGAACAAAACAAGGGGTAGTGATCTTGGAAAGTTCGACAGAAAGCACGCTTGGCCACGTGGTCAGCTTGTGGACGTCTCATGAACATGCAGCCGATGGTAAAGGAACTCTGTGGCCTAACAAAAGACATACAAAAACTGGAGGGCGGTCATGGCCTCACAAAGCACGAGGACCATCAATACATTAGATCTGTGAGGCCACCGGGAGCGGTTCCTTCGGTGGAACCTCCAGCCAGCAAGCGGTAAGGCGTTCCTGAAGGGGTCCTTTTGAGAGGCGCGGCTAAGGTCATGCCAAAAAAACTCCCGACATTTGGACGGGTCATCACGTTCTCTGTTGGTTTTGGTTGTTGATAGCAGCCGGCGACATCAGCCAAGTGACAGAGCATGTGCTGTATGCGTCCTGGCCGCGGGGAAGCGAAGCTGATGCCATCGAGTCTGCAGAAGTTGGTGTTCGCTAAGGTGAGAAATCAATTTTTTGGTTTGGCGTGTCTAATGGTGGTACGGCCGCATACCGTATAGGCTGATGACTTCTGGCAGTATGGGCTGTAGCGCGTCCATATAGTGATACAAGAGAAGCCTGGTGGATTAGTTTGGTTTTAGTGAGGCTGCACGGTTGCAGTAGCCGGATGAATCTTGTCTTCGTTGCCCGGGGGCCGTCATAAGGGACTGCTGAGGTAAACAAATTTCAACCCAAGCGCTGGTGGTGATGATGATGTGAGAACTATCATAATTTGATGTATCTTGAGTATATCACATTCCGTGCAACACTGACAAAGCCCAAGCCACGAAAAGCCAATGCCAACCGAAGCCGCCACAAGCCACCAAAAGCCAAAAGCCACCAACTGCCAAAAGCCACCACAAACCAAAAGCCACCAAAAGCCAAAAGCCGCCAACTGCCAAAATCCACCAAAAACCAAAAACCACCAAAAGCCGAAAGCCACCAAAAAACAAAAACAAACACAAGCAGCACAAGCCACCAAAAGCGAACAGAATGCTACCACACCACTAATGGTAAAACAACATCCCTCCAAAAAAACAACTACAAAATACGCACTTTTCCTGATGCTCACAAGGGGCTGCAGTGAGGTCAGCCGTACATGTTGTGGTGTCAGTATCGCTATGCATCTAGGTTGTGGTCATATGGAAAATGGTTCGCACTACTTCTTGGCACTGCGAAACTCTAAGATACTTCTTTGAGTTCATGCCAACATAATCCATTTTCGTCCATTCAAGTCTTGTTTCTCTGCAGGCTGTTAAGTTCCTGAAGCGCTCTTCTGCTGGATCAACATCTGGGTTGCCCCTTCTGTATTCTGCTATTTCAAATGATTGCTCAACCTTCCTTGTTCTCGCTCAACTCTATCTGCAGTATCTGTCTTCCATCTGGATTGAGTTGTCTGATGGTAGTTGCTGGAACTTGATCAACCCAATCTGCTCTTCATAGGCTTTCAGTATCTGCTGGATGTAGCTACCTGGTTGGATCCATAGTCCACCAACTCCTATATAATTTGCACCTTCTCCTCAGAAAATTGAACTCATCACCAACCTTCTCAATCTTGCTCACACTGGCGTCAAATTTGCCTTGAACCTTTGGAAGAAAGGTTTCATTGACTTGGGGTCTCCTGTGAAAATCAAATCACCCATATGGATCAAAATGATACTCTTCTCATTCCTTCCTAGGCATGGACACTCAGCACTGAACTTATAGTTGGGTTCCTCTGTGAGGTGCTCTGCGAAAAAAGTCACGAAAAAAGTCACACAATGCGCTTGCTCCAACTTTTTGTTCATGTAGATTTCTCTTCACCAAGAATTCGTCTCCTCCCAATTCACTTGCAATGGCTTCTCTTGTGGAACTTGTAGGAACGCATCTTTCACATCAAGACATCCTAGTACCTGTGAAAATGTTCCTTCTCCCTCTCTTGCCTCTTCTTCTTTACTGGCTATTGAATATTCTTGCAAAGAATCGCTGGTGAGAAAATGTCATCTCTCTTTCCTTCAGCGAAAGCAGATTCTCTTGCAACTACTCTTGACCTTCTCTTCCACCTCTTGATTGACATGCCATCGACTACATTGCGCGCCGTCAAGCAACTGATCCCTTTTGCGCTGCCTTCTGGTTTCTCTAGCACTTGCATCTCGAGCCTTTTCCGTTCCACTTCACCAGCCACTCTGTCCATCCATTCTTCTGGATCTCCATGTTCTCCATCACACCACAAGCACTCAGGTCCATTTACTTCTTCCAAATCTGGTCCATTCCATTCATCATCCCACTCTTCCTCGTCAACTTCTTCTGCAACTGGGGATAACTCTTCATCTATATGGTAAAGGCCTTCACCTCCAACTTTCACCATGTTGATCCTGGCCTTCTTGCTTGAATCATCTGATGGCCGGAGTTTCTTCATTGGGCTTTCTTCTTGTTTCTCTTGGTCTTGATGCCGCTGATGGTGATCTCAATGAAAATAGTATAGGGGTATTTGGATTAGGCTGTCCTGCTGGCAATGATGTAGAGGAAAATGCCTTCACCTTCTCAAGTGTTTTCTGCCCAATAAAGAGAACTTTCTGCTTCTTACTTGGTGTCTCTTCTCCACTTGGTTTCCTTTCACCTCCATTTCTTTTCATTGCTTCAACAGTGATTTCCAGCGGGGCTGGGGTCTCCATCTGAACCACTTCCTCCTTCAAGTGCGTTTGCCTTGACTGACTGCTTCTGCATCTTCATCTCTGAACTTCAGCATTACATGTTCTGGCGGAATGTCTGGCTGCGCTGCTGCTTATGTTTCTGCTCTTCTCTTGGTGGCAGTGATACCCCCATGAAAAGGCATTGAAGCTTTTGTATATGGGCAGGTCTTTGGATCAATCTTGATCTGTTCTTCTGAAGCATTTGCTCAGCACTACCTGCACTCCATCTGTAAGCACACAGGTGTCTTGCCATTCAACTTTTCCCAAGAACAAGCATAGAGTTCATCTGGTTCCTTCTTTGTTGAAGCTCCTGATGTAACCATATTTTGCTAGAAATCTTTCGCAACTCTTGCCATAGACAAGCCAATATCGAGTTGCACCTTTGACTGGCTGAAATCTGTTACAACTGGCACGCCTTTTTTGTCCAAATCCAAAGTGCATGATCTGATCCAATCTTGATACCAAGTATTGACTGCACACCTTCAATGAAAGTTCCTGCAAGTTTTTCACCCTGTCACTTGTGCTCTCTGACAGAAATCTGGTAGTAGGTCCTGGCCTTGGTTAGAGTCTTGAGGGTTTGTCTTGTTGTGGGTTCATTGTCACTCCTGTAGGCGATTGCTGGGTACCTCAACAACTGACTGAAACTCACCAACTCTTGCACAAAGGGATGCTTCGTCTCTTTACGCCATCTGTTCTCTCATGGCGGTCTAGACGTGCTTGATCTCGATACACTCCTTGCACAAAATGGCATATGGCCCTCTTGTTTCCTGAGCTCTTGCTTCACTCACCAAGTTTTTGGCGTTCAACAACTCCATTTTCTTGTTGTGATTGAAGATCTTCGTGTGGACCTTTAGCTTAGGACCACTGCCTGAAATGCCGAGAAATGAACATGCTGCCCTCAGAGTTGCCAAAGCAGAATCCTTAGTCAACTCTCTTCCTTTCACCAAGACTTTGTCTACATCCATTGGGCTCAAACGTAGTTCACATTCAAGGTCAGCATCTTTCTTTTCATTTTTTGTTCGACCTTCTACCTCCTTCTCCTGGGGGGTAAGGGGTAATCTCTTCTATTGCCTGCGTGTTTTTTCTCTGCTCTCTGTTCTCAAATTT